AGGCTGTGAGTCCTCAGGTCTACCAAATGTTAACATAAACATGTAAAAAAAGTTGTCAGTTGCGGAATTGGAGTTCTGTTTTTGTTTAATAGCTCTGAGTAATTTTCAGCCTTATCTGGCTAGATTTAAATAGCTTTTGCGAGCCAAAAAAAGGAAAATCTCATTAAAAAATATACAAATTTTCGGAAATCCATCATTCTCAGCTCCAAATCGCTCGATCCCTTCAACTTCACAAGATTCGTCAGTTCAGTCTGGAAATGTGCAAATCGCATCTAACCCTGGGTGAGTTCTTTTGTTTTGGAACCAATTCATCAAATTGGTATTTTAGGACAGTATTCAACACGGCCCGTTACAAGTATGGATTTCTGGACATACAATTTTTTAATGGAAAAATGACTTTAGTCGAGAGATTGGGGAGACGGTGAGGTCATTGAAAAAGTTTCTGTTTCCATAGTTGACAATGCTCGTATTCCGGTTTGAAACGCTTAAAATTTTATTTGAATAGAGTTTTCAAAAAACGGAGCGACAACTTAAAATTGCGTAGTCATCGAAATTTCACAGTTCTGATGTTTTTCAAAAAAAAAAGGTCTTATACGTTTAGAATCAGAAAATTCAAAAACCTTCAAATTTTTTTTCATTTCATAGTAGGACCTGTACATTTGTCTTTCTTTTCTATGTGTACAAATAAAATACGATGCTTTCATATATTTTTTATAATTTGAATAATAGTGCAGGCTGTCCCTTTTTCTGTAGATGTAGATCAAACAGACAAAAAAAGGACCGAATAATAATAATTTTTCTGTACTCGAACGAAATAACCGTTTCATCTGGCAAGATTTGGCATTAAAAAACCTGAGATAATTTATTTTTTGAGGGAGGCGAATTTTGAGGGAGGCGAAAAAGTGTGGCAGTTCTTTACAATAGCGTTCCAAACCGGGATCGTTTGGGCAAAATAGTCGTTGATTTTGGGGTGGTGGCATATAAGTAACATGGGGTGACGGGCCGAGGAGGAAATGGAGACACGAGATACTAGATTGGGAAAATAAGAGGCACCGCTAATTAATTTATAAAGTAAAAAAAGCTGAGATTTGAGGCGACGATTGCGGATTGAGAACATGTTTAGGATTTTGAGACGATTTTCATAGGAGAGGAAGGGAATGTTACATCTTTGAAGGAATATTTTAAAGAAGTGTCGGAGAGGTCGTTCTAATTTAAGAGAAAGCTTGGAAGAAGGGGGTGGAGAGTAGACGGCAGAGCATTATTCGATGATCGGTAATACATAAGTTTAAAAAAGAAAGATCTAAGTAGTTGGTAAGATCGGAGCATGGCAAGGGCGATTTTCTTGAGAATTTGTTGTTCAAATTTAAGGAGCGGGGCGGTGGTGAAGCCAAGATCTCTGACTTGGGAGGACGGGAGAATAGAGGAGCCGTCAATGATATAATTATGGTGGGAATTTCGAGAGCCTAATCGAAGGAGTGATGTTTTGGAAGTGGCAAGAGGGAGAGAATTCTTAACGGACAGGCATAAATGATGTCAATGGACTTCTGAATGATAGAGGGGGAATTATGAAAAACTATTATAAATTAAGAAACTTTCTCGATCGTTCTTCTGTTATGCTCCCATACTACCTCCTCCCCCATCTTGTTCATCGTTTTCAACAACTGTGAAAAAGAGTATACCGAGAATATAACAACGTTTCCAGACACAGATTTATTATAGAACGTTTTTGAGGACGAATGTACCGGATACCAATATTCTTTTATATTAAGAAGAATATAAACATAAACGTCATAAAATATATAAAATATATCATTCATCTCAAAACATCCTTCTGGTGTATCTTCTCCCTCTTCGAACGTTGTGACGTCGACATTCCCGGCGAGCATAACACAAGGAAATGAAACCAACGTCAAAACCAGAATCCCAATCTTTGGTTGTACCAAATCCCAAATGAAGCCCGTAACCACATTGTCAAGTTGAGAGATTCCAAATAATCTCTCACCTTGTGTAGATTTCAAACTTGTGTGATTAAACCATTTATTTGTAAGCGAAGAAAAAGATAAAAAGGATAAAGTTAAAATGAAAAAATAAAAAGATACATCAATTGTGGCTCTCGCCGGTTGTTATATACGTTTTTTAAACCAAAATATTGTGATTTGTCATCGAGATTCATCATCCAACTTATGTTTGGATGACGAATCTCGATGATCAACGAAATACGTTGACATTCCCGAAACAGCAGGCAAGGGTGCGGGAAACAGTGTAGATTGTGATTGATTATCCTTGAAGCATTTCTCATCGACTAAGCCATTAAAAATTGAAACCATTGACACCATGAAGCGAATGTTGAACCATTGAAACCATGAAGCGAATGTTGAACCATTGAAACCATGAAGCGAATGTGGGATCATTGAAACCATAAAGTCGCAGTTGAGCAGTTGAAACCATGAAGTCGCAATTGAATAGTCCTTAGAATCTTCGAACCAATCGTCGATAATATTTTCTTCTTCTCCCTTTACATCTTTGTCCGATAATCAAGAAAGAGATGATCAGTACTCCAATAACTATCCAAGGTGTCATGAAGCTTTTTATTTGGTCCCAAAAGGTGTTCCACAGGTTTCTGAAAAACTCGAATATTTCCAGACCTTTCTTTGAGATGAATTCGTGATAGGGTACAAAATGAGATGAATTCCGGTCTTTGAAGGTTTCGACGGCGATCAATCGTCCAATTAGCAGAAATGAAGTTGTGGTATGTCCGCATGTGATTGAACACTTTTCATTGATAGTTTGATGATTAACATGAAAAACCAGTAGATTCCTTTCTTCATGTTTTGTGCAGTTGACCGATGATGTTATTGAAGGACAAAGAATCCTACCTTCTACTTCTGATTGAACTGAAGAACAGGTAATTTTGACGATTGATCCTTGGCTACATGAGTAACAACCATCTATCGATATCTCGGAGATATTACATTGATCTTCTTGAACGATCCTTTCCACACTGTAGTTTGTAAATTGAAGTTGTACCGATACGATACCACTTGAATCGAAACGAGTAATAACGGAGTTGTTTTCGGTCTCAATCTTTATTTCTCCTTCTTGAGTGGGGAGAATAGTGTTGGTCGACAACGTTTCCAGATCCAAAATGTTGCAATCACATGAAATGTCCTTTCCTTGGGGAATACAATAACAAAGATCCGAGGCCAGTTCACATTCGAAGGATACTTCTTTCAGACGAGAAGAACATTGAAATTCACCCACTCTTTCTTCAGTGTGCCTTTCCGGCGGCGAAGGGGCGGAGAGTGTGTAGAAAATTAATTCGACTCCGAATTCCGATGCTCCCACTGTCACCAGTTTTCTGATGAATGTTGAGGAGTGGAGAGGAGCTACATGCATCCTCCACCATTTAACTAATGTTCCTTTTGGTATACATGTACATAACTCTTCGGGGAAACCGCAATTGAATTGTTCGGTTTACCAGCGTAGATGTTTGCTCGAATTGACATTGCTGTAGTCAATGTTGGAATTTTACTATTTTGTAAATAGCAAAAGATGTTAGTTCGGCATACAATCTTGAGTAGACGCATGATAGTGAACACGATAGGCAGTAATCACATGACATCCACACGAGGCATAGCAGTTGGTGAATCCTGGTCCACTCATAGATGGTTCGGAAAATTCTGCTATTGATTGCTTATTGATCTTCTCGCAGCTGTCTCCTGTACTGCTTCCGCCTGCTGTGCATTTGTGGCTGAATGTATGATTAATTTTGAACTGTATTTATATGGACTTCAAATGGAAATTCAAATGGAAATGGACTGGTCGTGGAAAGTTCTATAAATCCAAATGGAAAAATTATGCCTAAGTTTGCCCATTTTTTCAAGTTTTGTGGTCGTTTAAACTAAAATTTCGTGCTTTGAACATTTTTCATCATTTTTTTAAATTTTCAGTTTATTTCATTTTTTTTTATAATTCTTTTGTACCTAAGCCTAAATCTATCAAATATTAGCTTAAAAAAATAAAATTACACAGTTACAACAGCAAAAACAATGTTGTTCATGAAAAAAACGACCTAAAATGAAATTTTTTTGAAGTTATGCATTTTTATGGAAACAAGCGCAAAGTTCGAAACTTCCATAAAAACAGCCGCAAAACTTGAAAAAATCGAAAAATCTTAGCTTAGACATAATTTTTACCCATCGCCCACCTTCTGTCTTGCCCCCCCCCTAATTTCATGGCCCCTCCCCCTTCTCCCATGGCCCCCCTTTTCTCATGGGCCCCCTTGTCATAAAGAGCCGTTTTCTCTATCAACCCTCAGAGCAACCTTTCTCACTGAAGAATAGTATATCCACAAAGTTTGGTTACTAAATGACTCACTAGTAAAACATCGATTTGGCAACATCTCTTCTTCCTGGGTTCTTCGAGAACAGCGCTTCATTCAAAACGAAATTAGAAAAAATAGAAAATTTGAAAAAAATAAGAAAAAAGACCCCGTAAATCAGTTGGGTGTCATGCAAGGCAGAATGACTACTAGTCGAAAAAAATTCTCCCCAACAGTTAGTAAAAAATGACGCAGACATGGACCAACAAAGATGACACATACAAGGAAGCCCAAACAATTTGTGTACTACAAAACAGTACTATTGTTCGCGCCAATTTGTTGATAGAGAGAAATTTTCAAATTCCATGAAAGGACAATGCTCGATGCTCGGATTTCGTTTTGAAACAGGTAGATGGTAGAACGTCACGTTTTCCGGATTGGAATCATACCGAAACTGCTCAGCTAAGCCAAACGACTGCATTTTCCATTGTCAGATGTTGAATTGGTAGAATGTTATCCTCGAAAGATGGGGATTTTAAGTTAGGTCAAATTATTATTATTCCTTCATTTTTTTGTATTTTCTGATAAATACACATGTTTCCGGAAGGTACTGAAAATGAAAAACTACCGGAGTACCTGAATTTACGTATTTCAAAACCGGTCAGTGTAATGCCCACTGCCGCGGGCTCAATTTCTTGACTTTCGCTTACCGTTTCTTTCATTTGTATTTCTAATTTCAATGTTTCGAGTTTATGAGCCCCCGAAACTTCTGAGTATTTTCATTTTCAAGTTTTCAAATTTTCCAAAAATTCTGGATATTTGAATTTTAGGACTAGTTAATTGCGAAATCTCTGGATTCCGAAACTTCCCAATTCACGCTCTCTCAGAGACGATTTCCGGACTGCAAATATATATTCGATCTACAGTAAAAAAATTTAGTGCAAACATACCTAATTTCAGGTCTTAATCATGTTGCATTTTTTATCTGACTTTTTGGAAAGCCAAGGTGATTCAAATGATTTTTGAAAACAAACAATTAGTGGTTACAGAATCCTGTATGGTCTTTTTCCTGAAGATAAAATACCAAAAATGGCAAATTTTCAAAGTTGAATACAGAAAACATCAAAATGGGATTTTTTGCAACCTGAAATTATGTTCGCACCAAACTTTTTCACTGTAAATCAAATATTCATTTGCAATCCGGAAATCGCCCCTGGAATTCCTGAAATTTCCGAAATTTCCAAATTACTACATTCCTCATTTGGGATTATATTCCCATTGTTGATTTGATATGTAATATGTGAATCTAAATTGTACTAATTTTCGAATCTGTATCATATTACAACTGATAGGGCGGCGGTGTTATGTTTTAGTTTACCCCTTCCCTCAGATGGACAGTCGAGGTCTCTCCCTCTCTTTCTGCAAGGTTTTATATTAGGTTGGCGGGAAAGTCTTTGTCACTTTTTCAATAGTTTATTTCTCAAAGAAAAAATAACCGAATAATTAATTATATTGTCCATCATTATCAACAACATGTCTCCAACGTTCCCTCAATTTATGGATTCCATTGCGGTAGAATCCAGCCGGGCGTGAGGCAAAGTATTGTTTGAGTGCCGCTTCGACCGCTCCACGGGAATTGAAGCTTCTTCCTTCGAAGGCACGTGTCATATCGCCAAATAACCAATAGTCGGAAGGAGCAAGATCAGGAGAATACGGGGGGTGAGGGAGAACATTCCATCCATATCCCATCAGCTCCTGCTTCACTTGTTTCGAAACATGTGGGCGAGCGTTATCATGTTGATAGTACACTTTCTTGTCTTTCAGGGCCGAACGGTCGACTGCTTTCTTGAGGTTTCGTAGTTGAGTAGTGTAGAGGTCTCCAGTTATTGTTTTGCCCTCGGGCAGAAGTTCCCAGTAGATGGGGCCGTCCACTCCCCACCACACAGAGAGCATAACTTTTTTCGGATGAAGGTCGGGTTTGGGGACATCCTGTGGGCTCTCTCCTTCTCCAACCCACTGGGATTTCCTGTGGTGATTATCGTAGAAGACCCACTTCTCATCTCCGGTTATTAGCCGGTCCAGCCATCGATCGCCCGCGTGGAGAGTGAGAAGAGTAATCGAATCGTCGACTCGGCGGTCAAGGTTGGCTTGAGTCAGGTGATGAGGTATGAATCGACCAAAAAGTTTTCTCATTCCAAGAGACTTCAAACCTTCAAGGACTGTGCTATGGTGAACTCCGAATGTGACAGCTTGTTCACGGCTAGATTGAAATGGATCCGATTGCAATGCGTGCTTCAGCTTGTCCAAATCCAACTCACG